ACATAACCGGCCCAAACTCTTGCACTTGCACCGCTCGCCCCCTAATACTTGCTACGCAAGGGGGAACTCAGGTAGCTCACCGCTACCAGTTTTTCGAGAAGTGTTTCCAACGGAGCACGCGAATCGGCGCAGCCGATGATGGCAGTGTGGGGTGCCTGACCTTCATCCACCAACTGGTGCCGTTGGACGTTCTGAGTCTTGGAACCCAAGGGTTGCCCATCCACAAATCGACGATTGCCCTCCTTCAACAGCTCAAGGGCATCCTCAGGTGCCATCGATGGGTCTGCCGTGGTGCGAACCTTTCGCACCTCTTCATTGACGGAGCACGTGGATGTTGCAGATGTCAGGGCATCGGCGATCTGAGTGAAGAAGCTCATGGTGGATGCGAAATGCAACAAGTATCAACTGGTTGTGGCGAGGGTTGGTTTGAACAAAAATGTGCTGAGAAACCGCAAGGTCAACAATCACTTTGCAAGGACGTGCTCGCAACAATCGCTCTCCAAACAACCATGCAGCTAAGCCTTCTTGTGACTGCAGCGTTTGCAATCAACAAAAGGGGTTTGAAAGAAAAAACAATGATCCCCATGGCCATGACCCGGTTCGATGCAAAAGGGCACACAAGCAAATGAACATACAACCTCCCCGTACGAGTACCCTCGGTTGATCTTGGTTGTATCTGTCTTTTCATGAGTGCACGGACGTTGCACAAAAAGGGTTTCTGGAGACACCAGCACGACATGAAGCTCTCCAGTCACAAAGGTGTCTCCAAACACTGAAGGAACACGTAGCGTCTTTACGCTATGACCCTCAGCGGTAGGCAGAGTGAAATTGCCTTTTGCAAATCAATCAACATTTAATCCTCAACATGGCCAACGGACAAGTTGAGGGTAGAATGAAAATAATTTGTAGAAAATTACGAGAAAAAAATGCAATGGAACTGCAGGCTTTTTGTGCGGTCCCACTTTGAATTTCAAGTCCCTAGCTGCTTCTTCAGAACAACCAGGACCAACCTTCCTCGCTCCTGATTCGGCCAAGGTGTCGCCTTAGGTCGCCTTAGGTTGTCTAGGCTCCAGCAATCTTGTGCTTCAGAGAGGGCGCCACACTGCTGCTGCCCTTGATCAACTTGGACTCTTGTGGACTTTTTCCCAGGAACTCCACCTTCCCAAGGTTCCAACGAGGGCCCCAATAAAGGACCGCAACAACAACTCATTCACCAGCCTAAAAGATCCCAAAGCAGTTTCCCTGATAAAATTGATAGAGACAGTGTCTGAGACAGGCCTAACTATATAACTGCCTAAGGTGTTCACGAAGGAACCCAAAACAAATTGCCTGAACCCTGGCGCCTTCCCCGTGCTCAAGTCATAGACGCCGCCCTGGATCTCCAGCTGACCACTGCGCACCTTCTCGCGGATGGCATCGCAGTGCTTCAGCATGAAATTCATGGTGTGGAAGACGTTCAGCTTCACTGCCTGCACCGATTCACCAGATTTTTTGGGAAGAGGAAAACAGGCACACCCCGAAAACGGCTGGAAAACGCGCTTAACAAGTATCAACAAGTAATCCGACAAAAAACAAAAAAAAATCGAGATATTTCAACCGGTTGGGCTCCTCGCTTTCCAACTGCTGAGCCCCACAACCCCCACGGCCTTGCTGGCGATCTCATCTGCGGTGGCATTCCTGCCGCACTGACTTTTGGCCTCAGACACCACGGAGCCCAGCTCGTTCAGCAAGACGTCCAGGGCATGGTTGGCTCGCTTCTCTTGCGAAAGATAGGCCGCAGTGGCTCCCTTGAGAGCTCCGCAGTTGGTGTGGCCCAACACAAAGATCAGCCGAGTGTTCAGAGCCCCGGTGCAGAATTCCAAGCTCCCCAGAGTCGAGCCTTCAGCATGAGTGCCTCGTTTTCGTCGCTCATTGTTGGTCAGAATCTTAAACGTCTTAACCCATAAAAACACATGAAAACAGAATATCAAGGCAAGCCGCGGCAAGCCAAACTCAGGGGAAGTAGAAACAGAAAAATCAAACAAACTCACCTGAAAACTGCCGAGCCCAGACACAAGTGTTGCCGGCATTCCTCAGCACAAAGAGATCACCGGGCAAGGCATCGAAAACCGTTTCCAGTGGCACACGCGAATCGGCACAGCCCACCACGGCAGTATGGGGCGCCTGGCCCTTCAGAGCCAAGGCTTCGCGCATGTGACAGTCCACCTTTCCAAGCACCGGAGCACCGGTGACGAAACGATGGTTGCCGTCCTTCAACATCTTCAAGGCCACCTGGGGATGAAACCTTCACTCCTAATTCAATTCAAGAAAATGCAAACCAGCAAGGGCATGAAACCATCAAGGAACCATCGCAAACACGATTAACGAAACCACGGTGGCCACCTCACCCGACCGTCCCGACCCTCATTAAAACGGAAGCAAAAACTATGAAACCATTGGAATATATTCAAAATATGATTTCAAGGCTGTCGGACGTCGCTGACTTTGGAATGATTTTCAATGATTTTGGTGTCTCCACGCCTTGGGTTCCAAGGTTCCATCCTCCGAGGTGCGGACCATGCCCATGGCCATGGAGGGTGGAAGGGAAAGCTTGGAGGACAACAGCTCGTCTTGTCGGGGAGAACGACCCAAGAATTCCACTCGACCGGTCTCCAGGTGGTAGATGCCACCCTGGATGTCCAGCTCACCCTTGCGCACCAAGTCACGAATGGGTTCGCTAAACTGCAACAGGAAATTCATGCTGTTGAAGACGTTCACCTTCACAGCATGGCTCACCAGCTTCTCTTGGGACACTCCTGGGCCCAAGTCGTCACTCGCTTCCTTGGCCACACTGGCCAGGCCCTGTAGCAGGCCTTCCAGGGCGCAGCCCGGGGCTTTCACCTCTCCACCTGCTTGGTGGGTCGCAGTGGCGCCAGCAATGGCACCACACTGCGTGTGTCCCAGGACCATGATCAGGCGGCTCCCCAGCTTGCCGGTGCAGAACTCGAGCGAACCCACCATGCTCCCCTCCGCGTGGGTACCTCTGTCGTCACGTTTTGTCCAATTTTGGATCCACAGTTTTTATATGTTTTTATTCTTTTCTGTAGGCCACTGAGTCAGTCACTGCAATTCATCAGAACTCGAGGTAGGAGGTCTTTGGACAGGACGCAAAAGTGTCAAAACATGTCCAAACATGTCAAAGCATGTCCAAACATGTTCATACTTGTCCAAACATGTCCAAACATCACCTTCTGTTTAGACATTCATTTGCTCAAGGAAGGCTATGTTTGCCCAGCTACAAGTGTTGCCCGCGTTCCTCAGCACAAACAGCTCTCCGGGCGTGGCATCAAAGATGGTGTCCACCGGAACACGTGAATCGGCGCATCCGATGATGGCACTGTGAGGCGCTTGGTTGTACTTCACCAGGGCCTTCCTCATCTCGCCGGAGGTGGTGCCGGCGGTCACCGCGCCAGTGGCGAAACGCTCGTTGCCGGCCTCCGTTGCCCCAAGTCAGCCCGAGTCAGCCCGAGTCAACAAGGGAAGATCACAAATGAATTTTGATTCATCGGCGTATATCTTGATCACTTGTCAGCGACTGACACTTGAAGAAATTCTTCAATAGTCCTTTCTCTAGATTCTAGATGCAACATGAAAGCTACCGGTTTGTTGACAAGACTGACGACACCTCACAGCTTGCACGGATACGTTGTGCTAGATTACGTACAATAGAATGTTCGGCGACCATGTCTGGGGGTGTCTACGTGTCAACTACAACTACACTTCACCACTCCAAACATTCCCAAATACCCTCGGAATTTGGGAATCCTTCAGCATCTTCAAAGCCGCATCCGATGGAACGCGCTCGTCTGCCGCTGTGCGCACACCATGGAGGCCACGACTTTCTCTCTCAACCATGGAAGTCATGGAAGGAGGGATGGAGGCAGTGCTGCTCAGCAGCTCACTTTGGACCGGAGACTTTCCAAGGAATTCAACCTTTCCCGTCTCCAGATGGTAGATCCCACCCTGGAGCTGCACCTGTCCAGACTTGACAGCCTCTCGGATACTGTCACTAAACTTCAACAAGAAATTCATGCTGTGGAAGACGTTCACCTTCACGGCATGTGCTGCCACTTCATCTGAGCTGGCACCAGGTCCCAGTTCGTCTGCTGCTTCTTGGGCCACGGAGCCAAGGTCTTTCAGCAGACCCTCCAAGGCAGAGCCGGCCTTTTTCGGCTCCTGCGCCTGCGCCTGGGCATCCAAAAAGGTCTTAGTGGCGCCGTAGATGGCTCCGCATTTGGTATGGCCCAGCACCAAAATCAGGCGGCTCCCCAGCTTGCCGGTGCAGAACTCGAGCGAACCCACCATGCTGCCCTCAGCGTGAGTACCTGGTTGGTCTGGTTGGTGCCGGATTTTGATCCGATGATATCCGATGTTCGATATCAATACATGCAATGCATACACATGTACAAACACACATTTGTACATTCAGTGCATGCCAATGCAATGCATCTTATCTGGGGAAATCGACAGAAACATGCAGTGTCAAAGTCATCAATGTCACTCACAAATAATAATGAAATTAATTGAAAATGCTTCTAAACTTTAACTAAGCCCAGGTACAAGTGTTGCCAGCATTGCGCAGCACAAAGATGTCACCGGGCATGGCATCAAAAATTGTTTCCAACGGAGCACGCGAATCGGCGCAGCCGATGATGGCGGTGTGGGGTGCCTGACCTTCATCCACCAACTGGTGCCGTTGGACGTTCTGAGTCTTGGAACCCAAGGGTTGTCCATCCACAAATCGACGATTGCCCTCCTTCAACAGCTCAAGGGCATCCTCAGGTGCCATCGATGGGTCTGCCGTGGTGCGAACCTTTCGCACCTCTTCATTGACGGAGCACGTGGATGTTGCAGATGTCAGGGCATCGGCGATCTGAGTGAAGAAGCTCATGGTGGATGCGAAATGCAACAAGTATCAACTGGTCGTGGCGAGGGTTGGTTTGAACAAAAATGTGCTGAGAAGCTCTGCAATTGTATAATGATTGTGAAAATAAATCGTCGCAACCATCATATGTTCCAAGTAAACCAAGGAAAAAAAACAACTTGCAGTGAGTCTGCAGCATTCGAACTTCAGGTCCCTTCTCACTATCGCAGCTTGTTTATAGATTGTAGCCGCATCCAACGCAGCAATATTTTGGTTTCCTCTTAGTTCTCGAACAGTTTGGTCAGCTTCTCCGTAGATGTGCGCGCCACTGGCATCAGCTCTTCCAAGAAGCGGTTGGCATCGGCACCACCACCCTGCGGGCCCCAAGTCTCAAAAAGTCCCCAGGATTGTGGCAATCTGTGAAAATGGAAATGCCAAATCATGAAAACCCAGAAAACAATGTCTTGACGTCAAAGAAATGATCAGCAATGCTGATCAGCTATTAAATGAAAAAAAAAGCAGGATGGACTTGGATGGACTGATCATTGACGCTGTGATCAAATCAGTGGCTCCGCGGCTCGTCCCACAAGCGCCTGATGGAAGACCAGCCAGCGTCCCTCCAAGAAGCAAAGAGACACAGAAGCGCCCAAGGATTCCTCAACAGCGCAAGGATCCAGCACCCACTGGCCACCTGGAAGGCTCCAACTCACAGATCTCAGGACATGTGTCACATGTGTCTTGTCATGTCTTGACCATCAAGTTTCGGGTACCCAATTCTTTTGACCCAAACGTCTCGGTTCTGCAGCAAAACTTGCACCTGGCATCCGAGCAAAGGTCACTGGCAGAGGTCTTGCCAGAAGCACCAGCCTTCGCGCCTGGGCCAAAAACGGAATCGGAGTGCTCAACAAGATTCTTTCCCTGTGCCAGGGTCCAGGACCATGCACCATATACCACCAACCGATGGGAAAAGGACATCTGCAGCAAGAAAAAACAGTGAGGTTTTTGGCGGTGGCAAGGGCGTCCTAAAGATGAACCTGGAACAAAAGAAGCAAATCACCGCAGATTCTTGCACGCTACCATGATTTCGTCTGGATGCATCTACTCCAAATGCAAACGAATCCACAAAAGAAAAATTGTTTTGTGGTAACGGTTCTCCCAAATCTCAATCAGGCGCGTAAGATCTGTCTGCGCTGACAGTATGATATAATTCTGAATCTGTGTAAAGGCACTGCTTGACAGACAGAAAATCCACCTGCCTCCGACACAACGTCCTCAGCGTTCGCAGGTGCAATGGCAAGACGTTCTCCCGCCTTGCTGACAGTTGATGCAAAGCTGGCACAAAGTCACTTTGCTATGGTTCAGAAATAAGGCAGCAGCGAACCCACAGTAGTTGTCAACTGCCGAAGCATCTAATTTAGAGAACCAATAGCTTGGAACCATAGCCAGTTGTAAATGGTGCCTGGAAATCCATGGTACCCCATATCAATTGGTTGAAAACATGACTTTCCCTACTCTTTAATGGTCATCAATTGTGGTCCGTTCCCCCATTTCCACAACATGATGGAGTGGTTTCCCTATGTATATAGTAACAAGAATTTATGCCCACAACATTTCTTGAATTGTATTCATGCAATGCCTCCTGCTCATGCAGCAAACTCAGACCTCCCACCAAAGCAAAAAGGGAAGCAGCAAGGAAGCAAAGAAGCAAACACCAAAGCCGAGAATCTGATCTGACAAAGAAGCCCCAAATGTATGTTTGAAGGTTTTTCAATGGAACACAATGAGAAATATCACCAAAGCTGAGGATCCAAGACGCAGGTGACTTGGATGAATAGTGAAAACAACTACAGCCGCATGAGTTGAGGCCTCCCCCTAGCAGTAGGAAATGTGCCTAGCCCATATAATTCACGATCACTTGAAAAGAACATAGGTTGCTTTTATATGTAACTGTAACTAGGTTTGGGCACTGACTTTGGGACCAATTCTGTAGCCATTTTCATCAAAGGCAGAATCGTTTCTATATAAGATTTCCATAAGTATATATTTAAGAATGTCTCGAACCACTCAACAAATCCGGCTTCTTTGGTCGCTGAAATACCTCCCTTCTTTGTTTTGTTCAATTTCAGGTTTGCAGATGAGCACTCGGAGGAAAACTTTCCTACTTCATCTTGATTCCAATCTGTTCCTTTCTGTTTTGTCTGTGTTTTTGTCGAGCTTCTCGATGTGTTTTGGATGTTTGTTTCATTTGATTAAATTCTTGCCCTTAGCTTGGCCTTTTTGCCAACGCTTCATTTTCACTGAAGATCGGCCATGTGCGTTGAAACTATTTTCTCGGCACAACAAAATCCTGGCCACAACAAATTTCTCAGCGCATTTTCTTCAACTTGAACACATATTTTCGTTCGTATCTATGCCCATGTGCACTGGTGCATCGGGGCCGCTTCAGGGGAGTATCTGCGGTCCCAATTCATCTCGCCGTGTTTGCCATCCTGCCATCCCCATGAATCCATTTTTCTGGATCCAATTTATTTTTTGGTGGTTTCCAAATCCATATAAATCCAGAATATTGGATCCATATAAATTCATATCCCATATCCAGTTCCAATTTTATCCAATTTTCGTTTCCAAATCCCGCCACTTGGTTTCCATTCGGACCGCCTCTGGCCCCAAAGTTCCTTTCACCAGCGCTGGAAGCTCGGCATCCTCTGCGGTGTTTGTCAAGCCGATGACGCAACCGCCCGCAAGGGCAACATAAAGCCAGTAACGTTGGTAAACAAATGGTGAA